GGCTCCGTGGAATCAGCCGCTGATCAGTTTCAGCAGCAGCTGACTTGGGGACACCTGGGGTAGAGCAGCTGGGGTGCTGCCAGATTGGTCCCCGCAGCACCGAGGTGCAGCGCAGCCGGGACCTACCCAGCAGTGCCCCAGCTGCTCTGTCCCAGGTGTCCAGATTCAGCTGCTGTTGAAACTGATCAGCGGCTGATTCCAGGAAGCCCAGGGCAGAGCAACTCTGCCTCGGGCTTCTTGTAGTCAGCTGCTGGTCAGTTTCAGTAGCGGCTGAATCTGGATGCCAGTTCCGACTTACATACAGATTCAACTTACAATGATGAAATCACAATGACGAAAACTAATGTGTTTTCCATGTGTATAACTCAATACCTACATCAAATCAGTAGTGCTACACGCTGCACGAGCTGATCATTTTGGCCGTGGGCTTGATTTTAAATTCCGATACTGTGTACAAGAAAACTTGGAGCTGACTGAAATCAAGAAATGGGGAAGGTGGGGAACTGGTCGTGAAATCTTCATTTTCCTTTGCACTCTTTTGTTTCATAGCTACTTTTGTCACTTGGCCTTCCCAGTGGAAATTGTCTGTGTCTTCTAATCTTTTCCTGTTTCCTCCTTTCAATTTTAGGATGCTACCCGCATGGCATCAGCTGGCTGTCTAGCAGAGTTGTGCGCCTTTCTGTCAGAAGAAGAGCTTAGCGCTATTCTCCAGCAACACTTATTGGGTATGTGTAACAGAGTTATAAATGCATTCTGAAATAAACAGCAAGCTTTATTAATTATAAAATATTAATCTGTGGAAAAGATACTTGAATAATATAGAGTAGCACTTTTCAACCACTGTTCCCAGACTTGTATTCTAGATATTTAATGCTGAGCCTCTATTGAGTCTAGCGTGCGATACAGCAGACCAAAAAGGTTAGGAACCTGTGTACTGTAAAAATAATGTTTTATAGAAAGCTTTGAAGCAGCTGCCATTTCTTGTCTTTCATTGGCTATAACATTGAAATCTAGTGAAATACTAATGCCCTGACATTTGTAATTGCTCTTGAAGAGTTAATTCCTTTGTCCTGGTTTCTTGCAGAAACATTAATTCTTAAGGAATGATTAGTGGACATTACTATCGCATGTTAAAATGGGAATCTAGCTATCAATCTATGAATTGGTGGCAAATGTGTTTATTTCATTCAAAAATTGTAGCTTCGCTAATTATTTCACAATCCTGCACATTTTAAAGTTGTTACATGTCAGAGAATAAAACCTGGCTGAGATGATCAGAGGCGATGGGATGAGCACACGGCTGGGAACTAGGAACTGCTAAATTTATTGCCAGTTATGCCACAGACTTATTTTGTAACATTTAGATAAGTCACTTCTTTGTTCCAGTTTCCCTGGCTGCAAAAAGGGTCTTACATCGTATAAGTGTGGGGTTTAAATGTTAGTTTGCATAGAGCTCTTGAAGGTGTTGAAAGGGTTTGTTTATTTTTATGAAAACAGAGATGAACATCAGCCTGGCAAAATTAATTTATATCCGTTATACTGGGTAGGCTCAATATTGCTCTCTCCATCTTGCAGCGGATGTCTCTGGGATTGACTGGATGGTGAGACATGGTCAGAGCCTGGCACTCTCTGTAGCTATAAAGGTAGCTCCCAGCAGACTATGCACCCCCAAATACTATAACAGTGTTCAGGAGAGGATCCTCAGCAATGCCACAGCAGACAGGGTAAGCACTATCTGAAGGCCATACAGAGCATTTTCCAAGAGCTCTGTCTGTTCCATTGTAAATAGCTTAAAGCTTTGCAGGCTCGTAGTGCGATACAGCAAAACAGGGACAACCCTCAAGCACGCTCTGATGAATGGACCATGAACAGCGACGCAGTTTTGACCTTGTGATCTGATTATTCTGATTTGCATCTGATTTCAGCTGTCCGTGGAAGTGGTTAGCGTGTGATTGAGTGCAAGTTGTTGAAAGGGTTTCTGATTGTCTGCATTTAACATTTCATACTACTTCAGAGTATGTGCTGAAACCAGAGAATGTTTGGAAAGCATTTCAGATACAATCTCATTTCTTTTTCTTGAAAACTTGCTTTAGTGAAAGTGATTTCAGTTGCTGAAGCAGTTTTCATTATGAACAAATAACTGTCTGAGCCTCCTATGATAAGTGCACATGTTTAGGCTAATTACTAGGAATGAGGGGCTCTTTCATCTTATGAAGAATGTCTGTATCTAGGCGGACCATCATGGTGTGGCTAATTTATGTTTAGGAAAGATAAGGTAATAGTTGTGCATGTTTAGCTTTGAGAGGCAGTGTGACTCTAGATATATGGTTTCTATTCTAATGACCTGCTGTATGACCTTGCGGAAGGCATCTGACATCTCTGTGCCTCTGTTTCTCCTCCCTTCATTCTATCTGTCAGACTGTAAGCTCTTCAAGGCAGGGACTGTCTCTTACTTTGTGCATGTGAACATTAATACACGCCTACTGTAATAATTATAACAACGGAAGTGCCCTGGTTGTGTTTATGCTGCAGATCCCTATTGCAGTTAGTGGTATCAGAGGGATGGGCTTTCTTATGAAATACCACATAGAAGCAGAAGGAGGAAATCTGCCCCCCAAACTCATCAACCTCTTTATTAAGGTGAGACCAGGAATTCATCCTTTAAGGTTTTTGCTCCCTGAACTGTTCTACAGTGATCTTAGCCAATGGAATGTGACGTGTATTTGAGTCAGTTGCACGAGGTCATTGGCCATTTGATAGTTTGGTCAGTAAAAACTCAGTACTGGTTTTAACAATATACATGTTGCAATAATTATGTGACTTTTCAAGGAGTAAATAAAAGAGAAATGGTGTTTGTGTCATTTTTTTTGCTGCTGCTTTTATTGGACGAGGAAAACTTGAGAGTGTTATTTTTTTCCCATCTAAATATGTGTCTTTTTTTAACCTTGGAAATATATAGGACATCAACTCTCTTCTTCCCTGGTTTTGCCACAGTTCTACCTATGTTTTTCAGTTTTTCAGGCCTTTCTTTGCATGCCTGTTTTTTTAATAAGAAAATCTCTTTTCTCTACAGTGTTAATCACTGAAGTTAAATAGATGTTAACAAAAATCACTCAGGCAATC